TTCAATACAATATGCCCTAATTGAACTTATCCTTTAATTTTATATTTTTATATTTCTTTGCATCTTTTATTTCTCTTTCTTCTTCTCTTTTATTTTATTTTTGATAAGTACTAAAATAAAATAAATATAAACACATAGAAATAAAAATTAAATGAAAAATGAAATAAAAATAAGGAATAGCTAAAAAATATATAAATGAGGATAAGATAAATAACACACTAATAAAAAATAGAAATAAAAGAGATAAAATTAAGGAAAAATATATATAACCCAAAATTTTGGTTATGACACTTGAAATACATTTTTTGTCGGGCATACCCTACTAAATGTATATGTGTTCAATCCTTTTTTCAAATTATCATCATGAAATTCATAAAAACGCTAGGTATGTTCAATTCCATGAACCTCACAAAGGATTGATCATTCTCCATTGTCCCTCATAAAAGTTATGAACATGTCCTTTCTTGAATGCTTGAAATCATGACATAAAAAATTTGATGATTTGAATGCAATTAGAACAGAAACATTAATCAAATACATGATCATAAGCAAAAAGATATCAAGCTACTCATGAACCTATTCTAATTAACATCACAAGGTCGAATACCCCAAGCCTTAAACCTACCATGAACACAAACATGAAACACGCATATAAGCATAAATATACAATCTTCCATTCTTCAATGATCACTTAGGCTGAATCATCCCATATCATCCAAACCAAGTAATCATAAGCAAAACATCACCTAAACTCGAACCATCCAACATCACCACCACAACCATCCAAACTAAGTAATCATAAGAAAAACATCACCAAAGCCAAATCATCTAACATCATTACCATCATTCAATTGTCCAGGCCAAGTAAGTGTTCAATTTATCGAATAATACTTAATCATTTAATTATCCGATAAACACCTAAATGAATAGTCAAGTGTATCAACTAGTTATCTAACCCAAAATCATCCAATAACACCTAGGTGTTCAATTATCCCATATACACATGCATCTAAAACCATATAACCTAAAGAAATCCTTGTTCATATTCACCAAGCAACATATCATCCAATGTCTCGACAATCATTCAATCAATAAGCAAAATTCGTGGGATCCCATATGGATCTTAGTATAATCCATCATCAAAACCAAGCAACAACAACAAGCACCTAATCCGAATTCATCAATAAGTATATTCCTATAACATAGTAATGAAGTGATCAATCTCAACAATAAACATATCTAAATTGCATCATTATCAATTAATTATAAGAATACAATACTCTAATTAGTCAATCATTAATTAATTGTATAATCCATAACCTAAAACATCTAGGTTTTGTATCATCAAGCTAGTCATTATCTTAATTGTTCAATCAACAATTCATCACTTACCCATCATTAATACAATGGTCAATCATCAATTAAATCCTTATCCAACAATATCATAATGTAAAATCATCATTTAATACCTCACCTAAACCCTATAACCTCTAGGTCTTTCATGAACACAACCTTTTACATATTCAACCAATAATTAATCATATAACACAACATCCCAATGTCCAAGCATCCATTAATTTCATAGTCCAATGTCCATTAATCATATCTTTCATTTAAACACATAACCCAAAACCCTAGAACCTTCAAGACTTACATGAACACAACATTAAACACATGCCATAACATTAGAATGACTAATCATTCGTCAATATCATAACCTAAATATTAATTAAATGTAAATCATTCAAATACACACATAGAAACCCTAGTTTCACATGAACACATCACCAACTTGGATTATATATGTTAAAATATGGATCATATTTACGCTAAGTTGGTCCTAGAAAACCTCTAATTGCATGAGCTTGCTAGATTGGTTCCTTCTCTTGCATTGTTAGACATATATCGGTATGGTGTCTCGAAATGAACATATTCCATACACCTTATCGCTTACGTATTACTTACTCATATTTGATGAACTAGATAAGTTATGTCAATTATTTGATGCTCAAGATAAGATGTACTTAGCTCATTAACCTTCATAGGAGTATGATTTGTCCTAATTCCGAATTGTTATAAGTTGGCTATCATGTTAGCAATCGATTTCTAGCAGCATATGAGGTTTTATTGACTAATGCTCCTACACTTGCAACATCTATCATACCCCTCTTCATTGGCAATAATTCCTCCCGTAAATATTAGATAAGGAGTTGATCGCTTATTTAGTGGTAAGGATAGCTTGCATAAAACTTTTTTAGTCACTCCTAATGCTCATACAAGGTCTTTTCACTATACCTGCATGATGCTACATATTTCTTTTCTAACATTGAAAATCTTAGATGCGGAAAAGTATTTCTCTAAAAACAACCTCTTCATCTCGATCCAAATATTGACTAAACCCGATAGGAGGTAATATAACCAATCCTTAACAAAATTTGCTAGTGAAAAGGAAAAAGCTCTTATCTTTATTTTCTCCTCCAAACATTCTATGGCTTTATGCTAGAGAAGACCATATGGAATTTCTTCAAATGCTTGTATGGATCCTCACCTACAAGACCACGAAAGTTGGACTACAAGTGTAAAAAACATAAAAGTGGTAGAAAACCCTAACGTGCGTTGAAATTTGGCCTCGAGAGGGTCAAGCTAGTGGCTAAACCATTGGTTCTATGCAAAATACCATTTCCTTTAGGAAAAGTCTAGGCTCGTTGCCTAATTACTTAAAAATCACTTGGTGGCACCCTATTTCGAAACATCTACTCGTCAAATTCTATCGAAAAAGTACAAAACCATAAAACTTCACAAATAGAGATTATAAATACCAACTACTATTAAAACTCAATAATCACAACTCTAAAAAACATAAAACAACATTGATTAAACTAGTTATTGGTAATGGCATCAAAATTTTAATGTGTGCGGAATGCATCAAATTTATATTATTATTATTATCATAATTTAGAATAAGGGCAAGCCCACACCAAATCCTAAAGATTGGTCAATCAAATTTGTTATGTCTAAAAACTGGAGGGGTCTTGTTGTTTTCAAAGTTGAATTTAAAGAAAGCAAGAATAAAATAAGAAAATTTTCAATTTAGGAAAAACTTCGAGTTTAAAGGGTAATTCAAACATTCAATTTGCGGATTGATCATCAACACCTAAATTAATATTCTATCATTGAATACTTAGCCTAGATTTACCTAGAAGCTAGAATAATCCGAATCTTTCCTAAATTTATTAACTCAAAACTCGCTCCCGAATCAAAATTTTATTATTGATTAATTTCGGTATTAAAACAATCCTAGTTCGATCACCAATAGCATTAAGAATTAAGAAGATAGCTAAGACCGAACAATAATTTTAGGATACTTAAATTATTTAATTCATTCTTTTATTTTTCTTAGGTAATCAAACCTAATTTGCTACTTGTACTAACGTTTTTTAACAATTACATATTATAAGAGTTAGCTAGCAATCACTCACAATAGATAATCAACTATTAGACCTCTCAAACAATCACCAATGCATTCATGATTAATTTAGTTCAAAGTTCAATTTATTAAACATAGAAAAATAAAGATATTCAAATCATCAAGAATAGTTTAAAGCTCGTTTCTCATAATCTTTTGCAAATTGAAGTTGCAATCTCTTAAACTAAATTGATGAAATTAGCTAGACATTATTTGAAGCAATAAGCCCTAAATTATGTAAAAGAACACATAAAGAAAGGGTGTCACTAATGTACGAGCCCGGAGGCTATTTATATATATAAAGAGATAAATATAACTGGTCAACAAAGTCCTAATTAAGTTTTTTTTGAAATTAACTAGGACTTGTGTTGACTAAGACTCTAGGTTATGTGCTAAAAATTTTGAATTGATTTAGGACTAGAAGATGGGAAACCTTAGACTCGGGCTCTTTATAAATATTATAGGCCTAGATGTCTTCTTTCCTTAGGATTTTGAATCATCTTAATCCAATGTATATAACTTCAAATATAATCCAAACACTAGACGAGTGTTCTAGATTGTCACGGAATTCAAATTTCTTTCCTAACTTTACAACCGACTTTGATAGCTCAAAACATAATGGATTTATGCATTTAAACCTAATCTGAAAAGTTTAAGATTTTACTTTAATTCTCAAGAATGCCTTTTTTACATTCCGGAGCTCTAAGGATGTAGTATTTTTGTTTCTTCCTATAAAGGTCAATTTGCTAGTATTGAAATTTCGCCCATGTTAACAAACTTTTGCTCCTTTAACTCTAATAATATTTGAAATCACAAAATAAACTTAATTCAAGCACATTTAACCTAAAATTACATCTAGAAGATTAAATATAAAAGAATAAATATATTCAATAATGTTTAATATCATACTACCGATATTTAATCTTCAAAATCTACTTTTCTCTCCAAATAATCATTTTGTTGAAATTTAGTTTTCAAGCATTATTTTTATGCAAGAAAAATGGAATAATTAATAAAAACCTTCACTTGCTATTTGAAATTGTGATAATGAAAATTATTTCAAATTATAATAATGTAAAATATCATACATTTAATGTCATTTTTTTTTAATTACAAAGTGGAATAACCGATAAAAATATCAGTAAAATTTTTAAGAATTAAATTGGATATATATTAGAATTCCTTGGGTATTATTATCTACTCCATGTAATTAAATTTATGAACTAACATAGTTTTCACTAATAAAAAAATATATAAGTTAGTTTTATCTGTTTATTTTCTCTATTAATTGGAAAAGGTAGGCAATATTTATACAATAATCAATAATTAAAAAATAACCTTATAAAAGCTGCACCTACACTTTGTACCTTCGCATTTAGGGTCAACAAAATTGGGTGAGACATAAAAGTTTGAGCAAATACATTAAGCACCATAAATATGGGATTTGACAGCAGAACACGTTTTGCACCTGACCTTTCCATGATCGTGTGTAGCACAAAATAATGTGATCATTAGACAGTGGGAAATGTTGACTCTAATCTTCGAAATCATTATATCTCTTGTAGAAGGAAAACAAGCTGTGTGCGCTCAACAGACCAAGATTTACAACACTATAGAAATTGAAAAAAATTTATAATACATAAAGAATAATTAATAACATATATAATAATTATTTTTTAGATTTATTTTAAAAAAGATAGACACATAAAAAAAATTATATCCATATCTATCAAAAGTGATAAGAAGATTTTCACGTCCGTTCAAATTTTTTTATTTTCTCTTTTTTATTTATTTTTTTTTGTGTCTATCTTTTTCCTCAAAATGTATCCAAGAAATTACAATCGTACATATCATTAATTACTATTTGTGTATTATAAAATTTCTGAACAAATCATGTCTTTTAGATCTTTTTTTTCTTTGTGCACAAAAAAAAGTGTACAAATTAGAGGAATATGTATTCATTGAAAAACTTTGTGTTTGTTTACATTCGTAGAAGAGGAAATTTGTATATTTATGTCAATATCAAAACCTAAGATATATCCTTATAAATAGAATTAATAGAATATAAATATAATGCTCTCCTTGCAGAGTTAGAGATAAAATTTCAAAAAAAATATATATATATATATATAGATTAATTGAGTTTTTTTTCTCTAATTAAGAGAAGGGGTGAGCAAAACCGAATAAAATCGAAAAGTCCAATCGACTATTCATAATTCAGTTCATTTAGTTTAATTTGTTTCATTTTTAGTTTATTCAGTTTGGTATATTTAAAAACAGAACATAATTTGGTTTTTTCACCTTTTAATTAAGGATATTCTAAATCATCAAGTTTATCACTTCTAATTAGTCCAATGGTCTAGCTAGCAAATGTTTAGTTGAATTCTACCTATTAAATACATGCATCATGGACAAATTATCATTAGGTTTCTAATAATTAAGTTATAATTAGGAAAACGATAAACGCATGGCAGGACAAGGAATAGTGGAGCATTAGCAGATTGTGGAAAGCATAACCAAACGCATTATCGTTTTGCTAAGAAAGTTATTGATAAGTTTGTCGTTACTGCATTTTTGTCGTCTCTTCTCAAGGCCACAAAAAAATAAATAAAAAAATAAAAAATGAAAAATGAAAAAGGATGTCGCCTTTTTTCTTGTCCTTGCAAGTTGATGAAAGGACATGAAAAGATTGTATTCGGACAATCTTATTTGTCCTTGGCCTTTTTATTTGCTTCCTTTGATTTACACTTTGTTTGGGAGAGAAAACGAGAGAAATTTGGAAAATGAGAAGAAAATGATCTTAAACAATATATCAAATGAAGGGGAGTAGAGGGAAGCAAGAGACTTTGATAATAAAAATACATATCTGCCCTTGTATCTTTTAACAGTTAATCTAAGGGATTAGACTTAAATTCATAGAATTAGAAAATATCTAAATTTGTGGGAGATTGTTTCTTCGTAAGTGGGATAGAAAATATCTAAATTTGTGAGATATTTTCCCTTTATAAGTGGGAAATTTTTCTTTTTTTTTTTTTAATTATAAAAAAATCATAAAAAACTGAACTTGTTGGGTGAAAAGTCATTTGAATTTAAAACTTTTACAGATTTATCATTACTTTATGTTTAATTAAAAAAAAATAGTAATATTTGAACTTTTAGTCGTTAGATTATTAAATCTTTGATACCATATTAAATAATTATTTCAACTTAAAAAATTAAATTAAACTATTAAGTGAGACATCATGAATGATTTTTATATTAATTTATAATAATTATCTATTCTCTCCATTTTTTTATTGAATTGTCTTAAATTACGGACCCGATCAAATTGGTTGATCCAATCAAGCATTTATTGATTAAATTGGCAAGATGGTTAAAAAAAAAAAAAAAAAACAATCTAACTTTTTTATGCTTTTATTTACCTTTTCACTTAAAAAAATCACATGGATAATTTAAAAATTTGGTAAGGCCTAGACCTGCTATTAGGAAACAAATCAAATTAAAAAAATAAAATAGAAAGACAAAAAATAAAGACACAATATAAAAATTTTACATGATTCGATAATGGTAGATTTTTTTATTAGATTTTATCCAATGACGGCTGCAAATAAAAGTGATAGTATCTCAATTTATAATGTGGACACTATAATTGCTCTGCATAACATCTTATATTACAACTCCTCACACACTTTAATCTCCACAACTTAACACATGCTAAGGTTATTATTTTATTTTTTATTTTATTATTTTATATTGCAAATTTGTAAGCTAAATTGAAATACTTCTCCCCTGTGCCTTTACAAAAACTGGACATACATACTTATCTTATTTCATGAAAGTTAACATAACAATAATAATAATAATACTAATAATAAGAATAAGAACATGAGTTTTAAGTAGAACAAGTTTTTACCGATTGTGTTGGTATGTTTTTAAAGAGGGGAAATGGAGATTGGATTGTATGTATGTATATATATATATATATATATATATATATATTCTTATGAGGTTTAAGGATAAATTTGTATTTCACATCTAATTTAATTAAGGATAAATTCTTGCTGATTGTGTTTCTTTTAATTTGATATTGAGTTAGATAGATGTTTTTTTCTTCATTTAATTTATTATTTTCTTTTATTGAAACGTTTTGAGGTTTCAAACAAGCAACACATATATTTGTTGCTCCAGAAAAAAAAAAACAAAAAAAAACAAAAAACAAAAAACAAAACAAAACAAAAGGCGTACTGTACTCGATGGTAGGCAAATATTTCGGTTGCTAACGATTTTCAGTATAAAATTTTGCAGTTCTTATAGAGTAAATTGTAAATTAGTCCATCTTATTTAAAAAAATAAATTAATTATTTTTTTTATTTCAAAAACTAATTATTTATTTCTCATATTTTGAAATCTACTTTTAGCTTAGTCATTTTTACTCTTTTCTAATTTATTTTTATTTTTTTATTTTAAGAAATAAAAAAAGAAATAGGAAAAGATTAATAGGAAAATAAGAGATTTTATGAAATAAAAATAATATTAAATTAAGAATGTTCAACACTTATTAAAGGATTAAATAATATTTTTTAAAATGAAAGAGACTAATTAATTTTTTAAAAAAAAACTAGAGGGACTAATTTATAATTTACTCCACTTTTATAAGAAACCTTTTTTTTATTGTTGAAAGGACCTTTTGGGTGCGCCTGTAATGAAATTCATGTGTCTGCATTTATGCACAAAACAAATAATCGAAATTCATATGCCCCTACGCTTATGCACAAAACATAGCAACGACGTTTTTGTGCGTTTAGAGAAAAAGGTGATTAATAAGTTAGATGTCATGATATTATTTTTTATTAATATCAGGTCTTAGTGTGCTTAACTTAAGAAGATGTCCAGTCGATTAAATGTTTGTTATATTATGATATTGGCTTAGTTAAAAAAAATTAATAAATTCAATCTCGATGAATATAAGAATTAATCCATAAATATTATCATTGAAAAGATAAATTTTCATATCTGGTATAGGAATTTTAAATATTGACTTGTAGAAAGCTCAGTTATACTATATTTCTCGTAATATTTACTTACAGAAACGCAACATCATGCCGAGATTCTCCATTTTATTTGGTCCCTCCTTCTTGCTTTTGTTATTTTTTTTTCCAAATTCATTTTTATTGGTATATATTTTTATTTTTAAATTAAATATGGTTTAATTATTTTTTATTAGTTGTGGAATGAATCTAGTATTTGATTATAAATATGGAGAAAAACCTCACTTTTTAAGTTAATTTTTAAAGTTAAAAAAGATTAAATAACATTTAATATTGATATTAAAACTTTTTGTTTAACAATTTTCGTGTGTTGGTATCACATAAACTGATGAGAAGTAATTAATTTAATGCTTTATATGTAAAGAGAGAGATTATTAAGTTCTCTAGCCTTTGGTGTAAAATGAATTAAATATTTGATTATAAGTATAAAAGAAATTCACTTATTGAGTTAAATTTTAGGGTTGAAAAAACTCTATGAGATTCAACAAATCTCTTTTAACTGAAAGCTGAACAGTTCGTGCACGGCGGGAATGAAGTGAAAGTTTTCAGATTCTGATAGATGGTCAATGCTAAAATTTTCGAAAAAAATTAGTGAAAAAAAAAAAAAAAAAAATCTGTACATTGAACCCGTTGAAACATTTTATAGACTAAATTTTTGAATTCGCTCAACAAAGAAAATGGAAACCATCTGCGGGTTGCGGGTTGATGCCATTTGGCCAAAGGGCAAAGGGAACAACCAGAAACACCCATTTGGTTGTCTCTGTTAGACTTGACTGTACAGGATTGATCATAGGGCTGGAGAACGACAAATGCCTTGACGATGACTGAAGCTAAGTGCATGATCCGGAAATAAATTAGGGAATTAATGACTCCATGGATCGGTAGTAGGCGGACCTACATTAGCTAGCTCATGTTTAAAAAGAAACATAGTCAACGTTAATCTTTTCTCAGATACATGCATGTACTATTTACTATTGACTTGTGTCTTGGATATAAAAATCATGGAGACACAAGTGGGCATAAATTTGATTATTGTGCAATAGGGTATCGACAAGTCATTTAATCTTACTTAATTAGCTGAGGTTTGCTGGTTGGTTACCTATGACATAATCGGAAATGCCATCGATGATGAAAAACACAAGTTATTACTTAAAAAATTACACATTAAAAAAAAATCATTTTTCTTCTTTCGAGAAACAAATTAATTGATCTCTTTAATTTTTTTTTAAAAATAAATTTTACAGTGAATTTTAATTTGTAACACTCTGGAGCAAGGAAGATGGCTATCCTATATATATATATATATTGGAAAAGAGGCTGTTGCTAATTAATATTTGGTGATATGCTAATAATTCCTTTTAATGATAAGGTGCCTTAATTGCATATCTGGCTATCTTAGTATACTGACAAACCTCTTACAGTTGGAGCCCTAACCGATAAAATGATTAGAGAAGAATACAATAACTTAAAATTAGTGCAAGCCATTAGCCAAGAGAATCTTCCGGCCATTGTTGCTTTTATTGTGTTAGCTACTGCAATCTTAGGTTTCAGCTAATTTCATTGGTTGAAAAAAGGTCGTATATGTGGCACGTTAAACCTCATTAGTCATGTCATTCTCAATTGGCTAGGTTCAAAGGTTTGGCAATGGGAAGCTGCATTTTAAAGATGGAAATCTTCTTTCCTGGAACAAGCAGAAGTAAATTAGAGCACATGCTGCAATTTTTGGTGGGATGTTTGGTGCCCCGTCACTAATCAAATCTCTGTTCATGTAAATTGCAATGAGGACAAGTTTGATGAATTTACCTTTGACCCATTTTATATATCCAACACTTTCAGTAGATCTTATATATATATATGTATATATATACACACACACACATTAGAGTTTCTAGAACTTGCTGGTCCAATATTCAGCATAATTACTTGTAGAAAAGGGATTAGAGTATATATATATATACTCTAATCCCTTTTCTACAAGTAATTATGCTCGAATATTGGACCAGCAAGTTCTAGAAACTCTAATGTGTGTATATATATAATTTTGTATGAAAATAATATAAAATTATTCATGAGATTTTATCTAAGGATTTAAGTTTTTGAACCGATATGATTTGATTATTTGTGTCAATTATCATCTAAATTTGGCCGATTGATTATAAAATTTCCTAAACTATTGGTCAAATGGAAAAAAAAATTCTCTAATCTTTTCTTCTTTTTTTCTAATTTAGATCTTCAACTTTTTTTTTCGTAATTAAGTTTTTTATCCCATTAACCAATTTCAAATAACATGAAAAAACACATAGAGACATTAAAATAATGACAAATGTCCCGAACGTCCTAAACACGAGACACATGTCATTATTTTATAGTTCTACATATCTCTCATATGTTTTTAATGTACTCTAAAATTAATTAGTGAAACTAAAAAAAACTTAATTACATATGCTTTTAATGTACTCTAAAATTAATTAGTGGAACTTAAAAAAGCTTAATTACATATGCTTTTAATGTACTCTAAAATTAATTAGTAGAACTTAAAAAAACTTAATTACAAACAAAAAGTTAGAGACCCAAAAAAAAAATATAAGGGACTTTTTTTTTTAGCAATAGTTCATGGTAATATATAACCAATATTTAGCTTCTAAATTTTACCAATATAATATCTTTTGTCTCTCTTTATATGTAGTAAATGTGTCCTACATATACACTCCACAATTCTTGTAATTTTCTTCAAGGAATTAACCTAAAGTTTGCTTAAATTATTTTTGGCTTACTATATCAAAAAATCATAAACTTTACATTTTTTTAAGCATTTTATCTCTTTTTTAAAATTTGAATAAAGAAGTCACAAACTAAGTTTTCGATAACAATACTAGCACAAGTTAGTTTTTCTGACTAAATTCGGACCAATGATGATGTGGCGCGTGATGAAGCATGACACTTGGCCGAATGTGCCATGTACGATCCACGTGGCCTATTAATTGAAGAAAATTCCAAAACCCTCCCTCATTCTCTAGTCAACCAAGGGGGACTATTCATCTTCCCCTAAAAATAAAACCCTTGTTGTCGCCCACACAACCACGAGTTAAACCCCTCCTACCAGCCATAGTCATTAACCACCATCGATCAAAACTCACTATCGTTCATCACCCACCACAACCAATCTCGAAACCCACAAACTCGATTCCTCCACTATCAAACCAACTACCTCTCTCCTCCATAACAACCACTACCCACAAAGCCACCATAATAGCCTCGAAACCCATTAACCCACACAACCACCATAGTAGCCCCGAAACATCACCCACCATAACCAGTCTCAAAATCCACAAACTTGACATCCTCCATTGTCAAACCAACTACCCTTCACCAAAGAAAAAATATTCACGTCACTTTTTCTTCTTCACCATAGAAACTCTAAGCTTCTCTACTGCAATCATTTCATTCTCCTTCTTCTTTCCAAAACAAAAGGAATTGAATTCCCCTTTAAGACTCCTCCAATTCAACACTTCTTTAAAATGTAAGTCTTCCTCTCTCACTAATTTCTCTCTTTTATAATTCATTTTTATTTTGTTATTGAATTGGAATCGTTTAGATTTTTTAATGGTGGGCTTGATTTTGGTGGAGAAGGGAAATGGTATGAAAGGTGTTGATCATCGGATTGACAATAGAGAGAGTTGTTTTGCAAGGCCGATGGCCGATGGGAGAGAGAGATTCAGTGAGGATTTTGATGAGTGGAGTGGCTAGAGACAAAGTATAAGAGGTTGATGTTTGGTGGAAGTGGTTAACAACGAGAGATGGTGGCTATTGGTTGCGAGTGAGAGAAAGGTCTATTGAGAGGTGATTATGATGGGTTAAGGTCAATGGGTTTATGACAGTGGAGATCGGTTGGCCAAGGGTTTCATATGAAGGGTGGGTTTTGAAGGGTGGGTTTAGCATGGTGAGGAAGAGTGGGCTATGGCTAGACGGAATGTTTAGTAGTGGGGGAACGGAGGTTGGAGCTTGGGCTTTGGCAATAGGGTGAACTGATGTTTCCCTCTCGTAAGGTTTCCCTACAATAAAAGCAATAACTAGGGAAAATCCATGTGAACCCTATGTGTAATCTTATGTGGCACATTTAGTCAAGTTGTCTTGCTCTATCACACGTCCACGTTAGCTTTGATTGGAATTTAAGCTGAAAAAACTCAATTGTGCTAGTATTGTTACCTATAGCATAGTTCGTAATCTTTCTATTTAAAATTGAAAGAACGAAATAAAATATGTAAAAAAATATAAAGTTCATTATTTTCCGATATATTAAGCCATTGTTTTTCATAAGTTTGTTATATATGATGCTTCCATTAATTTTATTATCATATATTGAAGTCTTTTTATTTCAATTTCTATAAGTGACAAGCAAAGTGCTAATGATTTGAAACACTCTAATATTCATTCTTAAAAATCAAATACAAAGATACTAAACTCTTTGTCTTTAAAGACTAAAGCGAGATCGTAAAAAACTCTTTAAGTAGCTATATTTGTTTTATACGTCTGATCAAATAGTGAGAGATTAGTTTAGGTTTTTAGATCTAAAATACTCTGAATAAAAAAAAAAATTGAAGCGGATTGTAGAGACTCCGAGATGTCTTGCAGATACATACAGGAAAAAAGATTTTGGCAATCAACTTGAAATTTCCAAAATCGAACGACACTTGCTTTCTTTTACTTCGTGATCGAAGGAGCTCTTGGACATCCTTTTTCTGACTTCAATATTATAGCAAGAACTGCTTGTACTTCTGGCCAAATATTATCTAGTAGTATTCAGAATGACAGGATTAATAATTGATAATCTATTCTGATTGATCTGAAGTGGATCTGAATCCCATAAATCTTGCCACATGACTGACCGTAGTGAAAATCAAGGAAGAAGCAGGTCAGGCACCATCAGGACATGGGATGCTAAATAAGAGGAGCTGACTCTTGGAAAAATCGGCTGTATTGATTCCTAGGCCTTCAGTAATTAATCTCATTCTGATTTCTGAGCCACAGTAGATATTTATCCATATCAGGGGGAAAAAAAAAAAAAAACTCAAACCTTGTAATCCGATTAAAAATACATCATTCAAATCATCTTCTCACAATCTACTTTAATTTTAAAAGTTCGCCGAGATTCAAAAGAGATTGTTTAACAATGATGTTTTGAATATCAACACAATGTAAATGTCATTACTATTATTACAAGGACCATCGAATTTGAATATGTTCACAATTTTATTTAAATTTATCATGATGATAGTTATCATAATTGTGCCGATATATATCGTGAGACTATATTAATAAAAAATTTAGCAACTTAAAATTTAGTAGTTTTGATCGAATTTTTATAGCATGCCTTTTTATACTATAACAGTCCAACACATGCCCCACAATGTCATTGCTCTATCTCCCATACATCTTCTGTTGATAAAAAGGCCATTAACAAATGCAGGTACGGTGAAACAAGAGCAAGAATGAACAACTACCACGAAACCACCCTCAAGTTCATGAATCCTACCTCCTACATCCTCCCTATATAAACCCCACCACATCTCCCATTCTTCCATACACTCGAACACTTTACTTAGCTGCCCATACTTCACCATTAACGTTAAAAAGGGGAAAAAAAAAAAAAATGCCTTCTTCTTCCAATACCAAAATCATCTCAAGATGCACTATCCACCCTGACCAAGAAACCACAACCATCAAAACCCTAAAGCTCTCAGTCTCTGACCTCCCCATGCTTTCATGTCAATATATCCAAAAGGGTGTCCTCCTCACTTACCCACCATACTCTATTGACGACCTCGTCACATTCCTCAAACACTCCCTCTCCACCGCTCTCTCTCACTTCCCTGCTCTCGCTGGACGCTTCCAAACTGACCCTACTGGCCATGTCCATATTGTATGCAACGATGCTGGGGTTGATTTCATCCAAGCTAAAGCAAGACACCTCTCTATCCACACCATTCTTTCTCCAAAAGACGTCCCTGAATGCGTCAAAGGGTTCTTCGCATTCGACAAGACCCTCAGCTATTCGGGTCATTCCAAACCTTTAATGGCAGTTCAGGTCACAGAACTGCAAGACGGCATATTTATTGGCTGCACTGTAAACCATGCTGTTACTGACGGCACTTCATTCTGGCACTTTTTCAATACCTTCGCTGAAATCTGCCAAGGATCTAAAAAAATTTCCAAGTCTCCAAACTTTTCCCGCAACACCATGTTTAATTCACCGGCGGTGCTTCAATTCCCAGCCGGTGGGCCGAAGGTGACATTTTCTGGTGAGGAGCCATTGCGGGAGAGAATATTCCACTTCAGCAGAGAAGCAATTGTCAAGCTGAAACTCAAAGCTAATAGCACTAATTTAATTTGCAATTCGGCAGAGATTTTCGGAAAGCAAAGTAACCACCGTTGGAAAGTCGTTAACGGAGAAAGTAACGGCAAAGTAGCCCCACTTTTCTTAAAGAACGAGAAAACGGCAGAGATTTCCTCGTTTCAGTCCCTTTCCGCGCAGCTATGGAGGTCGGTGACACGTGCGAGGAAATTAACGCCGTCTAAAATGACGACGTTTCGCATGGCAGTGAATTGCCGGCACCGGCTAGAGCCGCGGCTGGAGCCGTATTACTTTGGGAACGCGATTCAGAGCATCCCGACGGTTGCTTCGGCTGGAGAGCTTTTATCAAAGGATCTGAGCTTCGGAGCTGAATTGCTGCACCAAAACGTCGTCGCTCATGGAGATAGTACGGTGCGGAAGGGTATAGCGGATTGGGAAAAGGACCCGCGGTTATTTCCGTTGGGGAATTTTGATGGCGCATCAATCACGATGGGGAGTTCTCCAAGATTCCCAATGTACGATAATGATTTTGGGTGGGGCCGACCAGTAGCTGTAAGGAGTGGTAGGGCCAATAAATTCGATGGGAAGATATCAGCATTTCCAGGGAGAGATGGAAAAGGGAGCGTTGATCTGGAGGTGGTTTTGGCACCTGAAACGATGAATGGGCTTGAAAACGATGATGAGTTTATGCAATATGTTTCAGAAATTGATATTGTGTGAGTGGTTTACACTATAGTGAAAGCTTGAGTAAGACGAGAAAGAGACGCCAAGAAGAAATATCACAAATCACAATCGTTTGGTTTTGTTGGATATTATATTTTTTGGTCCAAAAGTTGAGGGGTCAAATTTGGGGGTTGATGATGGGAAAATGATTGATTTGGAGGGCTGTGATTTCTTTGCCTTTTTCTTCTTCTTTCCTTTTCCTTTTAATAATGAGGTTTTCAACTATAGGAATATGAGGCCAAACAGCGACGTTTTGGCCATTTGGGCAATTAGTGTGGTAACTTTTCAGACTTTGTAAATGGCACCTTAATTTCTGTTTCCACGTTTCAATTCTAATTTCCAGGCTTCTTTCTCATATATATATATATATATATATATATATATATATATATATATATGCAATCAAACAAATTATCCAGAACCGACCGTAGAATAAAACTACTAGATGTTAATGGATATTTATTTTTTATTACGGTAAGAGTATTTTTAAATTAGTTTATATGTTAATTGAAATCAAGTTTTTTTAAATAATTTTAAAAACATATCTTTTATGTAAATTTGATGCATTTAAAAAAAATGTATATACTGGTCCTAAGATTTGAATGTAATAAATTAATAAATTGAACAAACTTTGCTAATCACTCAGCTAACCTTTAGAAATTGATGTTAACGGTGATGGAAATAGCTCTTATCATGAAAATGTGATGTGGAGTATTTGTACCATTTACAGTGTATGTTTGTCCTGAATGATGCAAAGAAGGAATGGCGGATGTGATAGCATGGAAGGGTAGAGAGAGAGAGAATAGATGGATGTTAGCAAAAAAATAAAAATAAAAAATACTAAGCATAAGTCAAATCAAACGATTTCAAACACGGAAATTACCTCGTCGATCCCCCCATCAATTTACCCTCCCTACCCTACCTCCTTCTCTAGCAAATACATTCTAGGAAATAAAGTAAAAGTTTTTAAGGAAGTGTCATCTAGTTTGGGCGGTGGGTTTATTTATTTATTTATTTATTATTATTATTTATGTTAGATAAAATTTTGAGTTGCTTTTATTTGATTGGATTGGATCATCTACCAATCATATTCAAAATCTCACCATTAATTTTGAATTTGATGATTTATATTAGATGAGAAGAAAACTACAATAAGTAGTTAAATTGTTATTTTTATCAAAGTTAATACACTCAAATATCCTTATAGAACAGATTAAATTTCAAATATGTTTTTAAGTTAAAAAAACATCTTTGATCTATTAATATTACTTGAATTGTTTTCTAATCTATTTTTTGATTAAATTTTTTTACTAATTCATCGTAAATTAATTTTCATATAACAATACAATTTAACCAAATCACATATTATGTATAAATTACATATTTAATTTAGTAAAATAATTAATAATAATAATAACTGAATGATAGATTAAAAACTATGTCAAATAAGTTAGACATATTGAAAACATTGGTAGATTTAGGAGCGTATTAAAAATATATTCTATAGACTAGGATATTGATCCGTTTTATTATGTACTAAATTTTATCCATTCATTCAATAAAATGCGAAAAAAAATTATGGCATGAAAGGAGTATAACCAATGATAAAGTTTGATGGGGTATAGCATTGAAAACTTAGTGCTACTACAGTGGAGTATAGATGTCTCAACTTTAGTCTAGTAATAATCATAAGGAAGGAAGGATGAAAAGAATTCTTCATTTTATCTTTCCAAATTAGGAAAACATCTCGTCATCCCCCTCCGTACATACCCTTCTTCATAACAAACAAACTTCGAGAAACGAAGAAATAGTTTCCAAGGAAGAGTCGTCCTGCAAAATCTCTAAAGCTATTGCACTCTTCCAAGCAACAAGCTCATCTCTAAAAAGAAGAGCAACTATCTAAATTCAATATATATAGCAATAATCCCTAAAATAACAAACCGCATCCTCTAAAGAAAGAGCAAATCCACTCAAGGTGACAAACGACATCCTCTAAATTATTTAGAGAAATTAAATTAGATATAACTAAAATATAAATTAATTGAAAGAGAAGAACAAAGAATAAAATAAAACCAAGAATGTTTAGTGATGTGGACAAGGAGAATGTTGAGAGGATAACGTGATGTTGCCAAGTCAATTATTACTTGCATGATCATTTTCTCATTCATGTGAAAGGAAAGAAAAAAGAAGAAAAACTCAACTCAATTTAAATTCAAAATTTGGTGTGTGGACATTTCTGTCAGTTGAGCTATAGCTCATTGAGATGAGTTTAGAGAATGAGAGAAACACCTTCTGTCATGAGCTAATATCTAACAAGATTTTTAATAAATAAATAATCATCATCTCACCTTTCCTTCTCTCTCCTTCTAAGAGATCTTCATTAATAAAGTTATGGCTAAAACATGCTTCATTCATATTTCATCATGTGCCTTCCGTCCCAGATTCCAGTGACTGACAATAACAAAGTTATGGCTGCTAGAACATCTGCCTTGAGTTGTTATCACAATAGCTTCACTTCCATAGAAAGATTTCATTAGAATAAAAACTAACCAAGTCACTTAAATGCACAAATGACCATAACTTTATGGTCCATATTATACAAATGAATAATGAACATATCACAAACAATCAATCTTTCATAATTGTTGAGGGCTTTCTTGATGCCACTGGGAGTCTACTACCACCACAAATCTCCATTTTTTTTTTTTCCTTCCATTAATCTTTTCAAAGAAAACATCTTCGGATAAATTTTCATCACTTGCAGTCAACTTCTGGAGATGGGAAGATACGTTTTACTAGCCACTGGATAGGTCTCAATAGCCGGGCTCTATTCCTGCGCCAGAACCAAATTGCAGCATTGTATTGTTCATTGCGTATTTTCTTAGTCGCTGCCTTCCAATCATACTTCTCCATATCTTGACGTGCTGCCTTACCCATGGTTTCTCTCAGTTCTTGGTTATACAACAAAGGTTCTAATTTGCTCAAGCAGTCATCAAGATCCCCTGGATTAAAAAGAAACCCAGTTTTGCCATCATATTCTGGAGGAATTATATCTGGGATCCCCCGGCACGAGCTGCCACTACTGGAATTCCTGAAGACATGGCCTCCAAAACAACAAGACCAAGTGTCTCGGATTCCGAAGGCATTGCAAAAACATCCCCACTAGCATATGCCTGAGAGAGCTCTTCTCCTCCCAACATCCCAGTAAATACAGCAGGCATGCCAGTAAACATCTTTTCCAGCTCCTCCCTGGAAAGAAAGAATTCATGATTCCTAGAGTAAGATGCTGGGAATTTTCTAAACAATCTTTTTACAGGAGTGAATACAAATTTCACTGTCTAATTGAAATGCAAAAGATTAGTTTTGTCTTAAAAAATCAGTTTGAGAAATAACATCAGTAACAATTCAGTTCATAAAAATCAAACATCTGAAGCAGGGGAGGGTCATAAACCATAATAAAGTCTATACGTCCCTTGAACTAATCTAAGAAAGTTTCAGAATGCAATACCTATATGGCCCATCTCCAATAAATGCAATTCTTGCTCCTGGAAGCCTATCCATGACCCTGTTAAATCAAATTCATCAGATATGAGGACACTGGCAAATAATAGTACCATTTTTTTGTTAAGAATCAAAGGCAGTAAAACTAAATGGGTAACATTAAAGCAAGCGTGTCATATAATAGGAAGAATAGAGAGCAGAAATATGATTACAAAATATCATACTTCCTCAGTACAGAATGGGACAGGAAGAGTACTTAAGGAAAGAAAGAAAGAAGAAAGAAAGCAAGAGAGAAAATACTATGATAAGTGTAGCAGAGGAATTCCATCTTGAAATACTGCTGATAAGCCACAAAACCCTTATTGGATGCTCATTAACTTTCAAAGAAGATGTAATAGGTAGGATCAAAGGGAAAAGGAATTATTATTATAGGAAATGTCTTTGGAAGCATCTGGAGCAAAAGCTTTCAGACACTTTAGTTGACAATTAACCACAGTAAATGAGATCAAAGCTGCTTGAGTGAGCTCTACTGGTGCTTTCATAGTTGAACTAGAAATGCTGGGCCTAAACTTAGAAACTAAATTAGGTTTTGCATCTAATGATATAGGAAAACAAAATAATATTTTCAGTCATAAAAAAGAACGGAGAAAAGTAAACAAATAAATAAAGAAGTCAGAAAGGATCATGTAATACCTTTTGAGAAAATCCAAACTCTTCTCAACCCCAAGTCGTCCAACATGGACTATCAATGGCTTGTCAGGTTCACCGTCACTGTTTTTATACCAAAAATATATGACTCTCAGATATATTCCAGATTCCTAGTATAATGAAGTAGGTATGAAGGATGAGAGGACAACCTTACCTTAATCTCATTCGCATTTCATGAGAGCGGAAACGGGGGTGGAAGCTTTCAGAATCAACACCCTTATTCCAAAGACGAATCTTGTTAGCTGTAAACAAGAAATAAAAATCAATTTAAAATACGGCTGCATGAATGTAGAAGCAACATTTTCATGGAATAAATTTTGGGAATAAAGCACATCATGCACTAAAATTGACATAGAGAACAATAAGAGCTAAGTAATCAGAAATATGATGTTTATGTTCACCTGCTGTCACCCTAGCTTCTTCAAGATCCCTCCCAATAGCAGCTGATGGCACTAGTGTGAGATCAGCGGCTCTGTGAAGAAATTCTGATGGAAAGGAGAAAAAATAAAGGTAATTATTGACTCAGTAATCTGCAGTATGACGAATTTCCTGAACTATGAGTATAGCATAATACATACTTATGACCATCCACATGGGCTTCACCAGCCAACTAAAAGTGTACCTTGGGATGTATCTGCAAATGTAAACAACGAATTAAACTCTGCAAATAACCACTTGGCATCATAAACAAGTGGATGCACAATGTCAGAAAGGTAGTAGGAGAATCAAACTCACACGGGAACGTGAGTGTGATAAGACATCACTATGGGGACACACAACAGTTTTGCAATGGCAAGTGCACCAAAGACCTGTAACACATGATTGCTACTGTCAGCCACGCATAGGCAATAAATAACGAAGATTTGTTGCTTCAAAGGAAAAACTCACCATTATCCCAGGTGATGATGCATGTATTATGTCAGGCTTAAACTGAGCAACCTCTGAAATTATTCTTGGACTAAGTGCTAGAGACAGGGGCACTTTCTGATACCAGGGGCAGGGGAAGCTGTAAAGAGTAGAAAAATTTAAGAAACATAAGAGGAAACTTAAGTTTTAAAGTCAATGCTATCGATCAAGTTGGAATAATGCTCACGTTTCTAGATTATGCACTTGAACGAGGAAAACAATTCAAGCAAAACAAAATAGGTAAACAGAGAATTTAGAAAAGTTATGGGAAACAGTGACTAACATAACTTGATAATCATACATGCAACCCTAATATAATTGTAATGACAGTTGCAACACTAATTGACACAGTTAACATTGTTTGATGATCAATATTGCATAACCACAGATCCACAGGGCTAAAAGACAAGTCCCCTTCAACTTGACAGCATGCTAGGATATGATAATCTATAAGCAACAGGTAAAGCGTACGCTAGAATAAGTTATTGTAGCAACCTCCGTGATCCGATCAATTTTGCTCCATAAAACTCCTGGGGTACTCCTTCATGTGTTGTCACAACCATCACCTACATGTAGCATTACCAAGCCAACTTGTTAATTTTATGAAGTAATAGCACCAAAAAAAAAAAAAAGAAGAAGAAGCAAAATGGAAGTCTTGCTGCTTTAAACAAGCTGAGCTAATTACAACTGAAATCAACAAACAGAAAGATGATGACAAGCTGTATCAAAAGCTTTGTAGGTTCGACTCTGATTTCTTCCGAATCCTTGTGCACAACGGTTTCAAAATTTAAAGTGTCATCGTTGACCCAAATCAAAATAAAGACTGAAGAAATAGGTTTTCTGGAATAAAATGGGTGACTAAACACTCTGGCCCTCGTTCAAATGCTCAAGATAATAAGAGAAATCAGTATGCATGGAAAAGAAAAAAAACAAATAAAACTATATTCATGCACCACCTAAGTCAAAGTATTACAAATTACCTCATCGCCCATTTCGCGTAAATATTTGATGAAATTCTGGAACCGGTTTTTATACCCTGATACATATCTGCAAAATAAAAAGAAATAGATAGCATTCAAAATAAGTATCAACTATGCACTCTTGTCAACGAACCATCTCAATCCTGAAGTTTAAGCCGATGGGTGAAACCCTATGAATAATTTTATATAACTCTCTAACACACCTCTTTAAGTGAAAGCTTTTTGAGCTTGAAACTTGCATAAACCCACAACAACCTTGTATTTAATTATTTCATCGGAAGAGATAGTAAGGGTGGTGAGAACCGAACTCGTGCCCATTTGGTCAGCAAAACTCTGATACCATATCAAAGAACCATCTCAATCTAAAAGCTTAAGCTGATGGACGAAGTCTCGTGAACATTTTTATATTACTCTCTACCAACTCTCAACTAACAGTAAAAATTGAAGAAATTGAAAACAAAAACAATATCCACCTCAGAACCCATACTTCTATTTGTAAATGATAACATCAAAAAAAAAAAAAAAAAAAACCCTAAATATGCTGATAAACACATCATTGTATATTTCTATGATGATATCTGTTGTGCCAGCAGAAGCATGGAACTTAAACAATGTGAAGAGGCATGGTGACAAACAAAAAAACACAAATCACGAAGAGGTATGTGTTTTGACTTTCTCAAATGCTAAATCCAGGTTCAGGCAATCAATAATTCACCATAAAATGGAGATTACAAAACATAATTATTATGCCAGTTGGATAATGCCCCAAAGCCAAGTAAGTCTCACTCAAAAGATGTTCCATTGGCCTACTTATCATCCAAGGCAATGGAACATCGGAAATAACACCTACTTAGATCCAAACTTCACATCATTGGCGTTCAGTAGAGACTATGACATAATCGTCGAAATGGCAATAGCAACTAAAGCTAACTTTTTCTCGGTCATCAAATACCATTACTTAAAACAGAAAATCAGCATGAAAACTATAACCTGAAACTGTAACAATCATTTCATCAAATACCAAGCAATCAAAGAAACACGAAGTCAACCTTGGGTCACAAACCCCCAGAATTCATCAAACAATGCAAGAAATAGCATTAAGCCCATAACTTTTCAAGAACTTGCAAAATTCAACAATCTAAAAAGAACTCACGCAAATGGAGAAGGCTCGACAAAAAGTGCAATCCGTCTAGGCCTTGAAATGGTATCATAATCAAGAAAAGGAGGAGGGTTCTCTTCATCTCCTTCTGTAACCTCGCTAATAGTCATATTGTTATTGCTTTTGGCTCTAACAACAAAACACCATTTATTTCTTTCACCTTTTTTTAGCCTCCGAAACTCCGTAAAGCAGTTTGCTTTGCAAGAAATATGAATGGGTTTTGGTTTAAAAGAAGAAAAGCTTGAAACTTTAACAGAAACAAGAACCACTGGGTACAAGAAAGAAGAAGAGCAAGATGTTGAAGTAGAAGAAGAACAAGTGATGGAAGAGAAAGAAGGAGAGAGAGAATGATTTATAGAGAGAGAAGTTGAAGGGGTCATGAGGACTCTATAATATATCGGGGGGAGTGAGTTGGGTTTTTGCTGATTGAACTTTGGGGAGTTTTCAGATATGATTAATCTACTTCGAATGAGAGGAGGGATAATTTTATGGTTGAAAGGAATCTTGAAGGCTACAAAGGAAATAATATTGGATATTCTCTATAGAAAGAGGGACACTCACTGTCCTTTGAGGTATCAATGGAACAACATGTGAAGGCATATGCTTTCTAAGGATTTTGTGATTTTGTACAACCTAATATTGTTTATCCATAATAACTTTAGAATAAACTCGTTATATTTGACCAAACGTTAATATAATTGATTTTTTCTAACGTTAAATGATATATGATTTATTTTATGTTATATTTAAATAAAAAAGTTAAAATAAACAATATTTAATGATACAAAAGCAAGAAATGAATTTCATCCATGTTTTTCTGGGCTAATTGAGCACAAATCCTTGTCTATGATGATTATGGTTTTTGCCTCTCGTTCTTTCCCCGTATGGTGGGTCGGGTCTTTCACTTCTTGTATATCCAATAAAAATATAGACAAGTTTATTATTTAATATATTTTTAATGTCTAAGAGAGAGAAAAAGAAGATTTTTTTGTTGTCAATTTGGTGGTCTTAACTGCTTAAGATTGTTCGAAAAGAATAAGAACCGAATCTATTTATGTTCGAAGAGGATCTCTCAACGATGTTTGAGGGGAGAATAAATCAAAATTAATCTGACGGTAATGAGCCTTCAAGGGATTAGTTCACGAGGTAAAAAAACTATACATATATATTCTTTTAAAATCTGCTCGATAGCATTCCCTGTTTTTTTTATTTTTTGTTTTTAAAAAATCAAAAACTGTTTTATGTTTTATTGTTTGTTATTTTCTTTTTTTTTTTTACAAAGGTTTATAATTTTTTTCTTATTTCAAATTTAATTTAAAAATATAATAACACATTATTAATTAAAATTATAAAAGGTAATAATATTATGTTACTTAATTATTATTAGTAAATGGTGGCATCATGATAATAACATGTATAATAGCAATGGTAGTGATAAAGACATGACAAATTACGAATAACTAATATGATGCAAAAAGTGAGGATAAAAATTATAATAATTGCAATTTTTTATGATTGTAATTTTATTAGCAAATAATTATAGTTGTAGCAGAGGACAATTACACAGTAGGAGTGGTTATAATAATATATTAGCGATAAAAGTAGTCATAATATATTTGTGAGAACTATTGAAATCATGATGGTAGTAAAGTTCATAATAATTGTGATAATTTTAAAGGGAAATGAAATAAAAATTTGTTATAATTATGATGATGGTATTATAACATTGATGATAGTAAATTGAATGATGTTGATAGTGTGATAATGATTGTTGATAAGATTTGATAATACTATATTAATAACGAATTGAATACTCATACTACGCTTGCGGTTAGATAATCGTGAATAGAAGGTTAATAATTTATATGTCTGTAGTGTGGATAAAAATCTTATTTTTCATAATTAATATAAATTGATTTTAGAACATAAAAAATAAATAAATAACAAATAACCGAGATTATGTGTGCAAATACATAATTAATTTATAACAAAATTATATATATATATATATATATATATATATATATATTAGTTTTGTTATAAATTAATTATTTATCTACATATATATAACACTAATTATTTATAAATTTTTTTATATTCTAAAATTAATATTTTTAAATAAAATAATTGAAAGATATATATATATATATGTATGTATGTATGTATGTATGTATGTATGTATGTATTCTTTCATATTTTTATTGATTTTTTTAATTCTTTCTCTCGTTTATTAAAATAAACAATAGAACCATTGATATCGCAAAAAGGATAAAAAAAATTATTTTTTGAATAAAAGGAACTAACGGTGTTATGTATACGGATACATAATTAATTTTCAATAAAACTATATATATATTAAGATCATACTAAATAGATTAAGAGTATATAGTATAAATAATTAAAAAAAAAAACCATCTAGGTTGTATGGAATATATTAAAGTCAATAAATTAAAATAAAAATTACTACAAAATTGGTTTTCATAAATATTACTTCTTAATTTCGATGAAAGAGATTCTTAAATTGTAAATTAAATAATAAATTAGTTCATCTTGTTTTGAAAAATGAATGAATTTTTTTTTATTAGTATTGACCATGAATAATATATATTTTTTATTTTTAAAAATTCTTTTTTTCATATATATATATATATATATATATATATATACATATATATATTGCTCTAGATTTTTAGCCTTTCTCTATTTCTTAAAAAAAAAATCAAAAAGGATAAAAAAAAATAGTTTTTGAACGAAGGGGGTTAATGGCGTTATATATGCAAATACATAATTAATTTTCAACAAAACTAAAAAAATAAATCATTTTTATTAATAAATAAAAGTTCATAAAAAATTTAATTTGATGAGAGTTTTTATAATAAACGACAAATTTAAAGATTAATTTTAATAAATAAAAAAATATAATTCGATATATGTATTTGTTTTAAAATTTAAAAACATAAGAGGCCAAAAATATTTTTTAAAACATGAGAAATAAAAAGTGTATTTTGAAAAAAAAATGAGGTAAAAATAGACTAAATTAAAAACATGAGATTTCAAAATATTTTTAAAAATATGAGGATTTAAAAATATATTTTAAAAACATAAAGGGCAGAAAAAATTAAGTATAAAATTTGAAAATAAATGAAAAAAATCAAAAAATCATGAAAATACATTTGTAAAAAATCAAAAACCACTTTACTAAAAGCCAAAAAAGGGTCTTGGCTACAAAAAAGCGAAAGAGAAAAAAAAAACAAAACAAAAGATGACCTTGGCTAAAAAAAAAAAAAAAATCAGCTGGTGGAATTTGACTGTTCAAATGAACAGTGAATTTCTCATATGTTTTAATGTTTAGTAGAATGTTGATGATATGATATCTTAAAAAAAGAAAAAAAAAACTAGTATATTTGAATGGCAATGAGTTCTCAATATATCAATTTAGAAATGATAATTATTTATCTTAAAGTTTCAGGTTTAAATTTTATCACTAATATAAAAAAAAAAAAAAAGAAAAAGAAAACGAAGTATCTGAATCCTATTAGTTCCATTAACGATATCTTTCATTGCAAGTTCGATGGAGTCCATCTAAAAATATAGAAGTGAATGACAAAATATTCTTTACCAATATGTATAATCGTTTGTTTATACATCCATTTTTATGAACCAAAAAAATACCTAATGGTAATTTTGGCTGGACTCTTGCAGTCGTATCCAAATATTTCACGTTCTTTTTGTGCACATGATCCAACCGTCATGTCCTCTGCTCTGCACCTTTTCTGTTAATACAGTGCAGCGATGCCACCGACACTTTGTTTTATTTTATTTTTTTTAATTAAAGAAATATTTTCGAATCAGTACATTCATCAGTAAAAATAATTTTTTTTAGCGATTTTAAAAATTCAACTCTTACATCAGTTTGATACATTAAAAGAAATTAATAAATTATCCTAAATATTAATCTTTAAATTTAAATCTAATATATATATATAGCTATCAAATTCTAACATTTTATTTCTTTTTTATTCATTAGAAAGCTTCTGAGTTTTGAACAATACAAGGAGAAATAATTATTTTTCATCACATAATAACTAAATAGAATAAAATCATTAAAGCTCAAATATATAAACTGAAATCACTAGTTATCGAACTCGTTTTCCTGAAATAAGCCATGTGATATACAATTGTTATGCTATGTAAGCTTCAAGATCTTGTCTTTGGTTGTCCAGTGGGCTACGAATTTGGATTTATGTTGCAGTATTGATAATGTGGAGGGTCCAATACAGCTAATATGTTTTCTCAGCAGTTGGCGTTTTCATGATTGGTACCTACTTTCTCGCGGTTAAATAGACAATGCTTCTTTCACAGCTGGAGATAAACGTGCAGTTTTTTTTTTAAATAAAAATGGTGTGAAAATTGATTTAGTATGAAAAAAAAATTATGTTTTTCCAGACTCATGCATATTTCAAAACGTTCTCATTTTCCTATGTGCAGGTTAATACTTTTGGATAACTAGTTGAAAATAAATACAACATTTTATCAAGCATCTAGAAAATGAGGCCAAGTCATATGATATGATCTATTGAATTAAATTATTTTTTTATCGTCTGAATAGGTTTTTTTTAGGGATATAATATAAGGTTTTATTTGATATGATTTTTCCGAATTCATTTAAGTTTTTTTTTTTTTTTTTTTTTTGACTCAGATAAGATTATAAACATGTTCGGATAGAAATAATTTTTGACTTAAAATCAAAAGTTTGTTGAAAAATCGAACACAATTTTTTTAAAAAAAACTTTTCAATCTTGACTTATAAATTCTAACTTATTGAATATTATCTCTTTCTTCAAAAAAAAATTATTTTAAGTCATTTTTACTAAATATATTTCTAACTATACATTATTTATGATAAAAAAATTTTGAAACATCATTTAGAATTAAAAGTTATTTTTTTTTTTATAAAAATCATGTAAAACCAGCTTTAAAAAAAAAAAAAACACGAGGTTCCTTTCAAGTAATTGTCTCTTTCCATTTTATGTTAGGAACAAGAAAGTTGCTCTTTCATAGTCCATTGTTCCATATCTTTACTTAAAATTTTCCTTTGGACAATGAGCTT